TTGCTTATAAGCGACATGAAGCAAAATTTTGCTTCTTTTGAACAAATGGCTTGAAGGTTGGTCCATCATTAAATAATGCACGATTACTTCCGGATCAACTTCATGGATATCGGTCGAGGTTCAAACAAAAATGTCTTTGTTACTTTGGAGAATATTCATGTACTTTGATCTTTGCTTATCGAAAGTAGGGAACTGAGCTGCATTGTTCGTGAGGGATGCTTTCGCGAGAGTGAAACATGGATCAAGACTTATATGAGAGAAGCTTGTTGGGATACATATTCATCTTAAAGATCAAAGTTTTTTTTATGTTGAGTTTTATTGATGAGCACGATTGGGCTTATCTGAGGTAGCACGATTTTGCTATTCGTTGATCTTTACTCATAACAGCAATCTTAACCAGGGTTGGGAACTTTAGCTTGGAGTGTAGCATGTAAGTGACAATTTCAAAGATGGATTGGAGGAGTCTTCCAGAGATAGTGTTGTATGTTGATTCTGACTTGACGATGATGAATTGGATGGAGTGAGTCATCTGTCAAGATAATTATCTCGTTATCATGGAAAGAATGATTATTCGTTTGAAACTCCAAGTTAATTATCGAGCTCGTATAATGACCTAGATGTGGGCTAAAGTTTCTCCATAGTCAGCCTCAAACAAAAGAATGTTGAGTATAACAATACATCGACATAGCTACCATTATCAATTAGAATTCTCTTTAGCAAGGTTTGCCAATTTTTATGTAGATAGTGAGAGGGTCTTGGCAAGGAACTCGGACTACATCCATATCATAATAATTAAAAGGGATGGGTTTGAAGCAAGGTTTTTGTTGCACGGTTTTTTCGGGTGTTGTGACGAGGACATGATCAAAAAGTAATGGGCCTTCATCAATGTTTGAATTTTGCCAATAATTTGGTGACTCCCATGCTACTACTTATGTGTTTGCTTTCCCTTGGTGGGAGAGTTGTCCATACGAACAGGTTTATTTTGCTTAATACTATCCAACTATTCTTGTCAAATCAATCTTTTGATTTCTTCTTTGAGCCGATTACATGCTTTAGTGGTGTCACCATGGAAGTGGCAATATTGCTATAGATTCACCGAGTCAGGTTTCAAAGGGTAAGACCACGTAATAGCCTCTTCATCCTTAATGGGCATCAAGTGTTAACATGTGATGTGTTGAGCGACATATAATCCTTCTTTAGTTGAGCTTCACATCGTTGATTCATAAGCCAGAGAGGGAGATAATGATTCCATTGTTGTTCAGACTTCCTTCGCTATAAGGTTTAATTAGTAGCCCTGAGATTATTCTTACACTTGCCCCCGCATTGTTTGAGTTACTTCTTATGTGTGTTGATGACCACATCTGTAGTGATTTGAGATTTGAAATGATGAATTAGGTCAACATAAGAGTGAATCAACTTATGCATCAATAATTAGAATGAGCTCGGGCGGAGTGCTATAAGAAAGACTCCCCCTAGTAATTTAGGATCAACCCCTGGAATTTGATGAGCTTTAATAGAAAATCTGTGGAAGTGTTCCTTATGCAATTCTCCCTTACTCTGAAAAAATTTATAAAAGATGGGATGAATCTTTGACAATCATCTTGTTTACTATGATCTGCTCCACAAATAGCTAGACAAGCTTTTTAAAGTAGTGGATAGTGCCTCCCAGGCGAGAGTGGAAATAAGTGCAAGCTTGGCCCTTAAGAGTGATGGAATACACTTAACAAAGAAGTGCATCAGAGAGACACTGAATGTGCATGATTGTTTAAAAATGATCAACATGTTCATAAAGGCCAGTTAGCACTTCAAAGGAGTTAATGTTAGCAAGCATAAGGTCTGTTGAGATGGGGTGTTGGAGGAATGCTTGGGCCAATGGGAAATAATATTGGAAGTAATGGTGAGCAGGGAAGCAATACATATACCCCAAAGGGAACTCTTCTTGACACAGACGTCACATCTCATCACAGATTAACCTATTAGGAGTGATAACAAGATGCAGGAGGAGCCAGGTTTCATACGATCACCTAAGTGTTACCAACGAGCCTAGCTTGACGGAATGGATGAGTCAAACTCATAATATCAAGGAGGTCAGCATTCGACAAGGCAGAAAAATGGTTCCATCATAGGGAGGGGGTCCGGTACAAGCATGCTCAAGCGAGCATTTCTTGCTATTTTGCTGAAATTATAGTAAGTAAGCTTCGTCTGATTGTACTGACATCGGTTGTTGTGCCTCACATAGGAGCTAAAGGATCTCATTCTAAGACTCTTCTATCCTACGCACTCTATCCTCAAGAGAAGAACTTGGGACACCTTCACCAGCAGATAATGTCTTCCATGTTGAGAAGAGGGAAATGCTTAACATCCTTGGCTATATGATTATCTCCTAGAAGAGAGAGTGATGGAGCGCGATGCTTCATTATTATGAGTATTACGTCTAGTTTCCACTCAATAAGTTTCACAAGTTCTTTGTGATAGGATTTCCCACAAACAATGCTTAACTATTGCATGTCGGATGATTCATATTAGTAGAGTGATTATTTAGCGTCTCATTATTGTACGAAAGTCCAACACACACAGAGATAATGTAAATAATGGGTAGATACATGAGGAGTTTTTATTTGGAAAAAAAAAACCCATGGTACCTAGCATAGTTTAAATGAGCTGGTGAGTACAAGTATAGACCCCTTTCACATGTACGAGAAAGGGAGACAAAGATCCTACAAGTATGTTGTTCGTACACGTAAACGTTCACTGCACAATGGTTGGGATTTGTTGCCATTGGGAGTTTTCGTTGGAACTTTGGTACAACGTTGCACGATATTCAAGGCATTTCAGTACTCTATAAAGTGCTTCATTACTTACGCATGGTACTTCATTGCAAAGTACATAGTCAATATGCAAGCAAGGTACACTACTGGCACATGCAAGGAGAGGCTGGCGGTGGAATACGACGACTAGCGAGCAAGGGTCAATAGTGTTTGGTAGCCGCAAAGGAAGGTATCATCGAGTCTTTAATCCAAAATAACAATGAAAATATGCTTTTCTTTCTTGTGATGTGGCTTCAAGTGTAGCTCTTGGTCTTTCGGTCCTCCTTCATGAAGGGAGTAATGTTTTATTTATAGAGTCAGAGAGTGGCATCATCTGTACATAAGGCAGAAATCCGAACGACTCCATCAGATGACCCAAAATGATTTCCTTGATCCTATTGTTTTTTTTAAACATTTAATTAGATTATTGATGTCAAAATTGAGTGATATTAAGCTTGTTGGATTCGTCTCATCGAAAAGCCCATTTTAATCTCAAACTTGTAAAATTGGAAATCCATTTGAACCTCCAATCAACTACTAAAAACTTCCAAATGTAGTTTAACGGTTTGATCCACACTGGATTTGGCTCGGATTAGACCAATTTTGGTGACATTTGGTCCTTCTCGTCCAGCCGGTCAATTGGACGATAATTTTGCTAAAATTAGAACTATGAATAGTGTTTAATTTGAGTAAGAATATTCCATGCTAAAAAAATGCCTCGAGATCCATGCCGAGAGCCTCCAAATTCATACAATTGGGCCAAATATGCTCATTTCTATTTTGTTTCACAAATATTAATGTGAGAACAAACTCTATTCATCTACTATTGATTCGAAAAAAGAAAATAGAATTAATTGCTGGTTCATAAAATTCATATTTATCTTCTTCTATTGTGAAAATATTTAATAAAATTAATTTGAAGATTATTGATTACAACAAAACTATTTTTATTGACATTTCTAAATATTTTACCTACAAAAAAATATCATATATATATATATATATATATATATATATATATATATATATTATTTCCTATATATTATTTTGGGAAAGATGGTGAGCTTTGTCTGCGTTTATTTAATGTAAGTCGCATAAAAATAATAGCACGGTGGTGGAACACGGGTTCGAATTCTGTATTAAATGAGGCTGATTTTCATGTAGAAAATAAATTGAGATAATATATATAATTCTCACCTAATACGACAAATATTAAATTAAATTCATTTTAGAGAAATCCAACAATTACTAACCAATATAATTAAATTCGAATCAACTTTTCTTTTGTACTTTTATTTGCGGTTAGTTTTTTTTTTTTTTTTTTTTTTTTTTTTTGGGGCATGCATAATACATAATTTTGGAAAAATATTACTTCATGACTACTCACGTAGAGCTACGCTCAGAGTTCACTTACATGCGAACACGTGACTTCAAGAAAAAAACGCGCAGTTTCCTGTGATACGGCCAGGTAACGCAGGAGAATATTCCTCCTGTGTTATTCCGCATTATTCAGGTGTTATTGTGGTGATATTGGTTATTGGGTGTTATTGTGGTGATATTCATGTAATATTGTATTCTGTGAATATTTTCGGTGTTATCAGAATACAATATTACATGAATATCACCACAATAACACCTGAATTATGTAGAATAACACAGGTGAAATAATTCCCCCGCACTAAAACAATTTTTTTAAAAAAATTTTCTGTCACTTTTACGTGTCCGTATATGAGTGAACTCCGAAGGTAGCTCTACGTTAGGATTTCTAATATAATATTTTTTCCATAATTTCTATGTACTTCAAAAATATTTCTAAATTTTTATATTTACATAATAGCACTATCACATAATACTATAATATATTTTTAAAGTGAAATAAATATAGGTATGTATTGTAAATATCAAATTTTAGATATGACATATGTAAATAGATAAAAATTATCTGTCAAGTTGTAACTTTTCTAGATAATTTTGCAGTATTTGCATACATACCACCTAAGTCTTTGCTATTTACAAATATAACACCTAAGTTTTAATTTTTATATTTATACACATAAAATACAAATTTTTACACATAGAAATTGCGGTATATATATATAAATTAAAATTAAAATTATAGATAGGTAAATACAAAAGAATTGAGTGGTATATATGTAAATGTTCTTTTACCGGCCACCCGCTGCATCCGCACACTGCCCTGTCATAATCGTCCTCAATTAGAGAGCGAGAGAAGCAAAAGCTTGGCATCTGATCCTTATCGCAGAGAAAACCAGTCAAGGTGCCACCTTTCCCGGTTTCTCCACACCAATTCCTCACCTTTCCTCCCTCTTTCTACTTTCAATCCCTCCTACCGCAAAATTCCTCTACCAAAAACCCATTTTGTACCCAACCCAATCCCTTCGCCTACTTTCAGATCCACCCCATTCCTCCTCTCCTCCATTCCCATCAATCCCACTCTCTTCAAACCCTAGTTCCATCCCACCATACTCTTCAATAATGGTAACAAATCCTCCCACCACCACCACCGCAACCACCACCACCACCGCAACCACCACCACCGCCATCTTCTCTCTTTTATCTCCACCGACATCTTCTCTCTTTTATCTGACGACACACTCCTCGACATCCTCACTCGCTTAATCTCCGACCCCCGCGACTGGTCCCGCCTCTCTTGCGTTTCTTCCCGTTTCTCCAACCTCATCCGCTCCATCTGCTACCGCTCATGGTGCTGCCACTTCATCCCCAAGCTGGCCGCCGATCTCTGCATCTCCCACCACCTCCCCGGAGGCTGGGCTGCCCTCCGCAAGCTCTGTATCTGCTGTCCTGGCCTCCACCACGCCGGCGTCCTCTTAGATGAATACCCTAATCGCAAGTGTAGCCGTCGCCCCATTTGGGAACCTCATTACACCTCGGCACAAAGGGGTTTCAGTAGGGAAGAAGGGAGCAAACTGCTTGCAAGCCGGTTTCGTGGTGATTGTCTTTATATTAGTCAGTGGCCGGCGTGCGTCCATGCGGAGAACAGGCGGAAGTACTTGTTGTTTAGAGGCGTGTTCAGAAATTTTAAGGAGACTTCAGTCTGGAAGACGGTGAGGGATGCTAAGAAAAGCAGGATTGAGGCGAAATGCGCCTTTTGTGATGGGAAAGAGACTTGGGATTTGCATTCTGCGTTTTGCTTGAGGAGAGGTTTGGATCTTCATGAGGGGGAGCCGGTTGTCCGAGCTTTTGTGTGTGAGAATGGTCATGTTTCAGGTGCGTGGGTTGAGAAGCCATTGTATCTGTAAGCCGTTTGATTATGTTGTCTTCTTTGGATTTGGAGTTCATCTGGTATGAGTGTTTAATTGAGATATGAACTATTATTGTTCATTTGTTTGTTGTTGTTGTTCTTTCCTTGTTTTTTTTTCTCTGATACAGTTTAATAAGCAATGAACTTCTTTGAAGTCTCTGCTTTCTGTTTATATTTCATGATTCATCATAAAGTTTCTTAAAGGAAGAATGGTTTATGATGTAGACTTGATGAAAACTCAAACCTTTGTTTATGGATGTGTTGAAGTATTTCAAGAAGCATTCTGTGGAGCAGGAAGTATGGATTTGGAATTGAGGCATTGGAATTGAGGCAAAAGGCAAAAATGTGTCTTTTGTAAGAGCGATAAGACTTTCGATTTGCACTCCGGTTTTTGCTCGAGGGATTCTTCAAGCTTTTGTGTGTGAGAATGGCCATGTTTTAGTTGTGTGGGCTGAGAAGCCATTGTATTTGTAAAGAGTGGGCTTATATTACTTTTATGGATTTGGAACTCAGCTTGGTATGAATTGTCGATTAGAATATGAGCTATTATTGCTTATTTTATGTCCTTTGCTGATATTTAATAGATTTTAATAAGCAATGATCTTCTATAAGCTCTCTATTTTTATTTATAATTCATGTTAAATTTCCAAACGTGAATACTTTATGTTAGACTTGATAATGTTACCGTGTTACTGTTTTGTTGCATGCACAGTTATTTGATGTGCTTTTTCTCATTTATTGGTTTCAAATTTGGCTTCCCTATTGTCATTTGTATTACTAGAACGAATTACGTGCTGTTTGATTCAAATTGCTATTAAAAGTTTCCATTTTTAATCGGGTGAAGTGTCAAAACGGTCTCCTAACTCTTTGTAGGGGTCCATTTTAGTCTGAGAGTATAAAAATGCTAATTTAGTATATACAAAGTCTTTTAATTGGTGCTAAAATAGTCCTCCCTATGAATTATTTCAGCCTATATTAAAAGATTGTAGTGACTAATTTAACACTTTTATAGACTCTGGGATTAAAATGCCCCCACATAAATAGTCAAAGGACTATTTGTCACTTTACTCATTTTTAATATGTTATTAACACATTATCCCAGCCAATCGAAAGTTCTTCCCACTATATTAAGGCGGCGGTTGTGACGATAATGAAGAATTTTTGTGTTGCTCACAAGCTGAAACAGTGTGCCCTATGCACCCATGAGGCCGTTTATATAATATGAAAAACAGGACTTCATTACTCATGACTTGTAAGTTTTGCTCATCTATGGGCCACTTTTCTGATTAGCTAGTTATGACATTTTGCTAAATGTATTCGTTCTATTTGTATCACAGAGTACAAGCCGATGAAAGCTGCGTCGTTTTGATCGTGGGAAGCCATTTTAGTCACGTATTTATAATACTTGGGTCATATAATTTTTTTTCATGTAAGTGGTGTTATCTTCTTATTTTTTGAACACAGTGATTATATTGTGCTTCATAGTGAAACCATCATGCAAATTTGAAAGGATTGTGAAATTGAATGATTAATTTGGGTTATAACATGTATTGTTATTATTATTATTATTATTATTGTTATTATTATTTTTATTATTATTATTTATTTTTCTTTTTTGTGTGGTATAACAATTGAGAATGCTGTTTGACAAAAAAATATTAGTTTTGGTTGAGGTTAGTTTTATTTAGATAAGTGTTTGGAAGTTGTCCGATCTTGGTTAGGGAATTTAATTAAAGTATTTGTTTGATAGAAGGTGGATGGAATTAAGTTCCTACTTTTGGGTCTCATTTTCATAAATGTGAGAGGTTTCTTTTATTTAAGGGCTTGGAAGTCACTTTTCACCTTTATCTCTTTTAAATTTTGTGCATATAGTGATAATAGATGAACATGCCATGGTAGGATGGGTTAAAATTTTAATTTTGCTCGTAATAATAACAAGGAAATAATATAAAATTAAGTGAACAACTAATAAAAATGAAAAGGGACATTTGTATACATACCACACAACCCTTATGTATTTTACATATCTAACATCTAAACTTTCAAATTTACATGCATAGCAATCGGAATATTTAATATCACATAAAAAAGTTCATGACTTCCAACTTCTTAAAAGTGAAATACACCTCTGTGTGCATAGTTTTATCACACCAAAAAGTGTTATGAACATAAATATAAAAGTTTAGGTGTCAGATATGTGAATATATAACAAAACGACAATCACTCAAATCCAAATAAACAGAAGAATTGAGCTAGTTCTAACACTAGAGAACAACATCAGTTCTATCTTCAATAAAACTCAGTTTGGAAAAGCTACTCCAATTACTTTCCAACACCATTGTTGTAACAAATTAGACTTTAATGCTTCAGCCACAGTTGTACTGACCCTGCTGGTTTGGGTGCTTTAACATTAGCTATTCTCGATGACACAACTGAATGTTTTCCAAACATGGCCATTTTTATGTTGGGGTATTTACATATATAACACTCAAAATAGTATGATTCATATATTTAATGCTTAAACTTTGTGATTTACATCATTTAGCACTCCGTTAACTACGTTAATAGATCTCATCAGATGCTCAATAGAAGAAGCCGTCTCGGATCAGATGAAGAGGCCGATTAATATCAATAATCTAGGATAGGTTGACTAGGATTGACAAAGGGATTTTACGATCGGAATGAGGGCAATTAGGTGAAGAGGAAGGAAGAGGTCGACTAATATCAAGGATTTTGAAGAGGCTGACCAAGATTGCCGAAGGAGTTGACTACGATTAGAAAGCAGATTAAGCTCTGGTGAAGAGACGGATTAGGGTTACATGAAGAGATCGATTGGGATTAGACAGCCTCGTGATGGAGAGGTTTAAGATAGGTGTTATTTTTCATTTTATTTTGATGCATTGAGTGCTTTAGCGTAAATAACAACACTTAGATGTTAACTATGGAATCCTAAAATTTGGTGTGCCATGTATGTAGTTTCCCCCTTTATGTTACAGTGTTTATTGAATAAAATTACAAGTCTATGAATACTTAATTCATATGGGATTGGAGAGTGGGAGTGTTAATTCCTTGGAACAAATGATATAAGAAATTGATAACATTATACGTTTAATTATTTAAAAACATTTGATTGCACACTTTATATTAGGATTTCCAAGTGTTTAAAGATTATAAAACTATGTTACAACAACAACAACAGCAAGCCTTTTATCCCACTAAGTGGGGTCAGCTACGTGAATCTTTTTTCTCCTTCGTGTCTTATTGAGTATCACATTTTCATTTAATTCCAAAAAATTAAGATCATTTTTTATACAATATGCCTCAGTCTTTTTAGGTCTTCCTCTACCTTTTTTAATATAATTCAAATCTAAAGCATCTACTCTCCTAACCGGATCATCAGAATGTCGTTTTTTAATGGGACTAAACCATCTAAGCCAATTCTCTCTAATCTTGTCCGCCGTTGGAGCTATACCAACCCTTTCACAGATATATTCTTTTCACATTTCGCCTCTAAGTGTAAAGTCATTCATCCACCTAAGCATTCTCATCTCAACAAGACCTAACTTAGTTTTATGCTTCCCTTTTATAGGCCAACATTTTTCTTCATGAAGCATTACAGGTCTTATTACCATCTTATAAAATTTTCTTTTTGAGTCTCAACAATACTTTTCTATCACACAATAGGCATGATGCATTCCTCCACTTCAGCCATCCAACTTGCCACTAATAACATCCCAATCTATATCATCATCATTTTGAACAATAGAGCTGAGGTAGCTAAAACGTTCACTCCTTTTAATGATTTGATCACCCATTGTTACAACTCTGTCCCTATTTCTACTACTATTAAAATTACATTCCATGTATTTAGTTTTATATCTACTCAAACGAAGGCATTTTGACTTTAAAGTAGACCTCCATAATTCAAACTTTTTCTGAACTCTTTTCAGCAAAAAAACATACACTAAGGTTCATCCTCATGTAAATCTCCAATAAGGTCATCCATAACTAAAGCAAAATCATATGGGTTTAAGGTTATTCTCTAATGTAATTCAAATAAAATAAAAAACTACTTGATCAATCCTCCGTCTGTTCGAACACAAGTAACAACTATAGTATGCGTATTTTAATGACGAATTCAAGTCATATCAACACCTTTATTTTCTAAAACTCTCCAAAGAACTTCTCGTTGAATCTTATCGTAAGTTTTTTCTAAATCAATAAAAATCTTATTTAGATCCTCCTTACTTTCTCTGTACTTCTCCGGTTGGGAAAACAAACCAAAAGGATTAATGCGGTACAGTTTGAGATTTGTATTGAACAATTCAGTTGGGAAAAGAGACTCAGATTGTTAGAAGTTCAATCTTTATTCTTTATTGCACACTAATATATTTTTTGTGCTCTTTTCAAGTAAGCTGTTAATTTGTTCTTTTACTCAGCACATTTGGTTTAAAATAAACGATTTTAGCAATATATGTCGTGCAAAGATGAGAATTTTAGGATTCATGAGTAGTAAAATGGGAAATATAGATTGAAAGCTGGAGTCATAACCTAAGCATGAGAAGGCTTATTTCTCTTTTAACATGTTAGCAAGACTGGTATTTTTTCATGTGAAATTAAAAATTTGAGTGTTATGTATGTAAACAAAAAGGCTTAGGTGTTAGATATGTAAAATACATAAGAATTGTGTGTTATGTATGTAAATGCTTGTTTAGTGGCTTATAAGGAATTCATTTGAAAGTATTCTATGTATAGTTTCCTAAAAAGGTTAAATGAATTGAATTTTGGAGAAACTTTTTTTACTTTTTAGTTTGTCATTTTGCATTCAACTCCCAGAAAACTTGAAATTTACATTGTTGTGGCTTTCAAGATGATATCTAGATGGAAATCTTCAAACATCAGTTAAATTCAGGTTCCGGAGGCGGGCGGTCGGGCGTGCGGTCGCGCGGTTGTGCGTATTCCTTTTAACATATGACATTTGATTCTTATTTTTAAGCATTTTGTTTATTTCTTGCAGTAATGGGATTTGAAAGGTTCTACCATAAGTTTACTTTAATGCATAGATAAATTGAATTATGTATTTACATGCCTTAGCATGCATGCATCCAAACTATATACTACATGTGGGGTTAGAAGATAAGGTAGTAATGGTGACATTTTTGTTGTGATGGCAAAGATTTGAGTGTTGTGCATGCAAATATTCAAATTTACATATTAGATATGTAAATAATTGTGTGCCATGTATGTAATTGCCCAATGGCATTTTCATACATTCTACATAACTTTTATGTAGACGGCGCATTTGCATACATACCCCATAGTTTTTATGTATTTACAAATTTAACGCCTAAAGTTTCTCGTTTACATGCATAAAGCTCAAATTTTTTCAAACATAAAAAAAATATTTTTATGTATTGATTTATGACACTAAATGATAAGAAATGTAAATATCACGAATTATGTGATATGTCTGTAATTTTTTTCTTTATTTTATTATAACCTAAAAGTTAATGTGGTGAAATAAGAATAGGGGTGTAAACGAACAAAGTTTATGTTCGTGTTCGGTTCGTTTGAAATTTAGTTTATTTGAAATAAGCTCGTGTTCGAAATTGTTCGTGAAGTCACTTTTTGTGTTCGTTTCTTAATGAACGAGCCGAACACGAGTTGTTCGCGAACGACGAGCCAGTTTGACATCCCTGATATTAATATATAAAAATAATATTATATATTAATTATATAACTTATATTATATAAATATATATTATATATATTATTATTAATTTATTATATAATGTAATTTATAAAATTTAATTTTTTTTTTTAACATCATAATTTTTTATATATAATTATTTTATACTTCGAACAATAGCGATTCGAACATGAACGAACATATCACTGTTTGTGTTTGGTTCATTTAACTAACCGAATGAAAAAAAAAAAAAAATTATTCACGTTCGTCTCGTTTACTTATCGAACGAATCGAATACGAACTCATTGACGAACCGAACACGAACACGAACTGAACTGTTCGCGAACAACGAGCTTTTTTGATAGCCCTAAATAAGAATATAATTATATACTTTTGTAATATGTTCATCAGGTCCTCTCATGGACCAGCATTGATAGAAGCTTAATACTTTCTATACCGTTTTTAAATTGAATTATTGTATATGTTCTACAATACTCTATCAGGGTGTTGAAGGATATTTTAGGATTATAGATTTTTACTGAAAATTTATAAGAAATCTTAAATTTATAATGAGATGCATAAAATAATGCAAATATTGAAAATTCGTGTCATATATTTTTAATTTTGACTGTTATTGGGGATATTATGGTCAATTAAAATGGCATTTAATTAGGCAAATTTATATCATATATTTAGGATGGCAGTGCGACACCTCACTGTAGTTTTGTCTGTTTGGGTACACTGTATTTTGACAGCATTTTAAAAAACTGCCGCTGAAATCTACGATTTCCCACCTGTCATGACTGGGTTTTGTGATAGTTTTCTAGCTGTGGTCTGACTTAAAAAAAGAATTGTAATAGCCACCGTAATTTTTTGAACATCATATTATTTTTCAGCAGCTTCACAGGTATTTTTTAATAAATTGCAGCTGCCCTCAAAAAGTCCCTTAATTTTATATAATGAATGAGTTTATTAAAAATATTTAAGTTAGTTTATTTCAGAGTACTTGAATAAACACGCCTATTATAAAATGTTTCAAAGTCTTTTAAATAAGTAATAAGAAACTATCATACAACAAATAAAATATAATAGTCACATATAAAATTATAGCAATATGATCGTGTTCTAAGAAATGTACAATTTTTATGGCAAAAAAAAAAAAAAAAAGTTTGATGGTGCTATTTTGTCTAACCCCCTAACTTCTTCATAATTTTATGAAGCCTTTTGATTTTCTCTATTTTTAAATTTGAATATATTATTTGAATTGTGTTGGTATAATTGTTGTTGCTCTCCATAATTCAAATGATAATGAGCTCTCAATTTTGTGCCGGAGACATGAAATTTAAAAATTGATAAATATTGCTTCCTAATTGTTTAGATGAACATATTTGAATCTTTAACTAGTAACTAACCAGAGTGAGTTTTATCATGAGAAAACCTAATCAAGATTAATGTTTATCATATTTTAATCTTAATATGATATTTGGTCTTACATGTTCTTGGAATAATGGTTCAACTTGAGCTCATAAAAATGTTTGACTTTCTCTTTATGCATTTTTTCCTCATGTGCATTGATTTAAGATGGTTTGATTTAAAAGTTATTCTTTAAAATACGCTATTCATATTTAGAAAGTTACTATTAGATGCCTCAAAACTCGTGATATTCTTTCTTTAAGAGGCATGAATGCCAATTTGATACGTGTTTTATGTATGAACGACATAGAAATTCATGATCATCTCTTCATTGAATGTTCCTACTCTCATATGCTTCTTAAATGTTGTTCACACAATGGCAATGTTTTAATTGTTGATGTTTTGCTTTTACTTTGTATTTTATTGGTGCTAATCCTTTGTTTTTCTGTTCATGGGAGTTGTAATTTAATTTCTCATTTTGTAACTCATTTTTTCCTATGTATATATATATATATGTAAGCCTTCTATATATATATATTTACATACTAAGCTCCTAACTTATAAAATGCATGTAAGCCTTCCATACTTTTAATAAATAAATTAAACTAGATTATAATGGGGCTAAGAAATAAATAAAACTCCAATAACTCAGCAAAATTCTTCCCAAAAATACAAAATAGAAAACAATCAGCAAAAGGATGACCAGAACCAAGAGATCATATTGAGATAAATCAACTGTAACCATGAGATAGTCATTTAAGGTTTTCAGCCAACAAAGCTGACCAATCTCTTCTCTAACAATAACAAATGCCATTTAAATTTACAAAAGGTGTGCTGAAAGTTTGTAGCACAGTCAAATGAGGACTCATCCTCAATTATTATTGCAAAATAGTAATTATAATAATAAATAAATAAATAAATAAATAAATAAAAAGAAAAAAAGTGAATCAAAAGGAATAATTATTCAAAGTTTAAGCCGACTGCAGAATAAAGGATCACTAGCCAACTGGGTCTCAAAAATAAGGTGATCTCACTCTATTTGCCCCATGATGCGAATTATCCAACCTCGTCTGAACTATTAGACTTTCAGTCGAAGGATTTCTGTGTTCGAAAAACGTCCGGCTGCCAGATTCTATCGAGCTACTCCGTACCATAATTGGCACCAACTGAGCTCCTGATCGCAGTACCTGGGCTCCAGTGTTCGTCATATCTCTTATGCTGATGTTAAATGAGGGCGGGAAAGGGTACATGTATACGTCCGTGGCCGTGTGATCCGATGGGGGCCAGATCGAACGGCCGGCATTCGAATTTTGTGCAAGCCATTGCTCTAAAGTTATATTAGTTTCTTGATGGAGTTCCCGATTGTGCACAGGAGTTCGGTTGCTTCTGTTAGGATGAGGATGCACAGGTAAACCATAGATTCTGGTAAATTTGTAAAAAGAATAAAGAAAAGGTTAGTTTATGCAAAATAATCATAATAATATCTAATTACTTTAAACAAATGTTTTAAAATACATGAAGTCAAGGATAGCTTTTAGGCATGCGGGTACACAAAAGCTGATAGAGAGAAAATGTTCATGCATATAGTTTTAGGAGTGATTCAATTGGTCATAAATAGTTTCATTCATTTGATCAATCAATGAATCAAATGATTATCATTGATCTTTATTTATAGAAAGAGTTATAAGGAACAAGTAAATATTTAATTGGAAAATAAAATCATATCCGTCTCCACAAAATTTCAATTTAAATAAAAGCTAATCCAAGATGAGATAACACTTCATAAAATCATTTAAAGTTAAAAAAAAAATCCAAAAATATTAATGTACCTAAAATTTCTCACTAAAAGATGTACAAATTGCCTAAATGTATTCTAAAATATTAGTTTAAATCAATGTTATCAAAGCGCAAAGCACGTTGCAATGTGCAAACCAATATTTTTGCTTCAAAGTGCAAAATGCAGAGTGAAGCAGCATTTTTTTTTAACCAAAATGCTAATAGACTATACAAAATTAATAATTCATTAACAATTATTAAATAAAAAAATATTACTTAAAAGTTTATATAAAAAAAAAATGATACAATAAGATAAATATTGAGGATAAACCTACAAATTAAAATTTCGAATAATTTTAATAGTTTATTGCACTAATTAAAAACTTAAAAATTACCAAAAAAAAACATGCAAATTCACTTCAGCATTTGAAGCAAGCGTCACACTTCTTTTCACTTTGATTCGTAAAGAGGGCTTTAAAGCGCTCTTTTAAAAATACTGGTTTAAATATAAGCAACCTTTGTATCCTGATACAGACTACAATTTAGTCAGAGTCCACTTCATCTTTTGCAACCATAGCTAATCTTATACTATCCAATAGAGATACTCTACTTGCGACATTCATAAAATCATGCAGTATATAATACCTCAAGGCTTACCATACATCCATTATTATAATATCAAAAAATAGATACTCGGCGCAAAAAAAACATCCATTTTAGCATTAACATTCAAAAGTCAGAAATTTGTTTGTTAATCTCCTTTTCTACCAAATTCATTGTTTAAGTCACAAAAGTTGAAGTTTTCATAATGGAATAAAAAACCACAAGCAAATCTCACTTCTCTACAAAATTAGCAGTTTCATCCAAACGAGAAAAGAATATATCCATCTTCGTAACTCAAATCCTCTGCTGTGACTATATCAAAATATGACAGTGATCATCTAAAACTTTTAATTTATGAAAGGAAAATTTAAATAGATACCATAAAATTCTTATGTATTTACATATCTAACGCCCAAAGTTTGATATTTACGGTTTTATCACTTTGGCATCATAATTCTATGCATGGAAAGGTGTATTTAACTTATAAATAAATTATGATAGTAGTATTTTTTATAAGATGAAATAGACATGTAAATATTAATGTTTAGGTGCCAGATATGCAAATACACAAGAATTGTGTGGTATGTATCTAAATATCGCATCATAAAAAGTTCATATGAATATGGTTTGGAGGAAGGGTATGTCACATGCAGAAATAAAATGCCGAGAAATTTTAACTCGCTGCCACATACCCGTACCGTCCGTTAAAGGAATAGGAAAGATAACCAGCTCGTCCGGGTGGACCACTATCCTCGAGCATTGTACCGTGTGGTGGTGCCGCATGAGAAATTGGAGCCCGATTGGAAGCTGTCACGATGTCTGTAGGATGGGAGTATGTTGATTGACTGCAATCCCAACCCTGGTAACGGGCATCGCTGGTATGTAAACTCAGAGAAGAAGGAACCTCGGCGGAGTCGGAAACTTGGCTCCATTGAGGATAATATAAACTAGTGTCAGTAACAATGCCAGAAGAAGTCCGATTGGAAGCTGTGACGAAGTCTCTAGGATGGGAGTATGTTGATTGACTTCGATCCCAGCCCTGGTAATGGGCATCGCTGGTATGTAAACTCAGAGAAGAAGGAACCTCGGCGAAGTCCAAAACTTGGCTCCATTGAGGATGATATAAACTAGTGTCAGTAATGATGCCAGAAGAAGCGTGGAAAGTTGGAGCTGATGCTGTCTGAGCTTGATCGAAACCAGAAAAATGTGGGCATGGGTGAGAAGGTACTGAAATAGATGGTAACTCAGTGAAGACATTCGGCCCTACGAAGTCCTCAACTGCCAAGCAAAAGTTTGACAGACTATTAGGCCAAAATTCCCACTAATGTACCAAAAAAGGTGACAAATTACTCTGGGTTGGTAGACTTACAAGGTCCTGATGGAGATGAATCTGCATTCCTGAAAAACAATCAATTTGTTAATTGTTTGTTATCAATAAATTTGAGAGCAATTATAACATATAATTGAGGTCAAGATTGAAGTAAAATGGGTTGAATAAAATTATAGAACTTCATATCAAGAATAGAGACACAGCTATAGTATTTAATGCTGATTTCATTCCGATGTTTGCACCTTCAAAGGCGTGAAAAACACAATTAAAATGTAAATGTTCTGATGGAAAAAATTATTGGGAAATGGATTAAGTAAATTCTTTTGCCAGTTCATACATATATATATATATATACATACATACATATATATAGATACTTGATCTGGATGCAGCTATACTAAACCATCCAAAAAATTTTAAAATCACAAACATTTTGTTGGATAAGGATTCTAAAATCCTGAACCAACTTTGAGGTTTTTTTTTTCATAAATGCTCAAGACAATTAATAAAATTGAATTAAAAAGAACAGAAGTGGAAATCAAGGAGAGAGCCCACCTTAGGCCTCTTCTACATTGGTAAGGATGATGGGGCTGCGAAGTTGATAGGAGTTTTGGTGGTTTCTATATGCCGCGACCCGCTTGTTGCCTTCTCGGCTATCTCTAAAAGAGACTATACCACGAGGGTTCGAAGAAGGAGAAGGATAAAAGTTTTTGCGGTCTATGTACGCCACGATCCCATCGTTCACTTCATGGCTAGCTCTAATCGTGATCAAATCGCAAGTGTTTGAGGAAGGAGGAGAAAGATAAGAGTTTTGGTGGGCCTACAAAGGAGTTTGGCTATGACGGGTTGATGCCCAAACCTTCGGCTCTTTTAATAGAGCTGAGAAGTGGTTCGACAGTAAATGCGGGAGAAAAAAAGAGAAGGAATATTGTTGGAGATTGCACTAGTCCTCAAAATGGAAGGCGGACGAGAAAAAAAAAGAAATTTGTGTGATCTACTTGAGCGAAAGAGGAAGGGAAGAAGAAAAGGAAAAAATTTGGATATTTAGTTTGATAATTGAAGCTTCTCTTTAAATACAACCATTGACTACAATATTGTTGCCCGAAACCTACATAAAGGTAAACTTTACTCTCCTTTTTTTACCTCTTTCTGATTGTCGTGCTAAAAAATGTCTTTCCCCCAAAATTTATTGGAGTCAGGTTGTGTTCGACCTTCGTACCTCCTTGATTCAATGCATGAGAACTGCAAAACCCCATCGATAAAACTACTAACAAAGGTTTTCATACAGTCGAGTAGGCTTGACAGATACCAATCCTCGATTCTTTTTTTCTTCTCTAATGAGTAATGCTGTTCATTAGCATTTTTGACTTGTTCATTTTATGCAACATGTTTTACAAAGAAGTTTTAGGTATCAGAACCACAAGAAGCAATTAATTAAAAAATGAAACGAGCCCATTAGTAAAATGCATGGAAAAAGCGTCAAGACAGCAGAGAAGGGCATAAAAGGGGAAAAAAAAACCCTTTTCAATTCGATTTGTTCTTTTCTGCCATGCATATATGAATTATTACAATTTTCATTCAATCCTTAGAAATAGGAACTGAAACAGCCATAACTATTACCTTTATAAGTGAGCATAACGAGAAATAAAACTGATATATCATATAATAATAAAAAAATTGAAGGAAGCAATTACTAAGTTCCAAAGCAAGTATCAAAAGTGATTGTCACAGAAAACAATGATTTCCCATTCTCATATGCACTTCATAAAGAAACCATTGCAAATGCCATGCATTAGTAGATATCCTTGATGATTTTTTTTCAAGCTTTAGAGGAAAAATAGAAACATAAAAAAAGATGGAATGAAGAAGCCTTCAGCTTACCCGAATGATGATGTAACCCTTCCTATCCTATTAACTGGACACCAGCGAATTGTGTAAGGCTGCAAAGTGAGAGGAAAGAATAATAAATAAATGTAATAATAAACAAAGTTTGCATTGTATATGAACATTTTTCAAAGTGATGGATACTTAACAATGCTGAAAAGAAATAACGTCTTTAATGAACGATAAATAAATACAATAGAAAGCATCACAAGCAGAATGAAATTATCTCTGCTACATATAGTATTATGACAGAACAAAGTAATAGTAGCCACAGCACACCAAGAGCTATTGCATCGCACTTATAATATGCGCAAAAGAAAAGAAAAACTAATCAGATGTAAAACAAGAGTAGACATCTTAATACACTAGAACAATGAATCCAGTACATTTCTTTTCGGATTTATTTTTATTGTCCTAGCATCTACTTTGAGCCAATAATAGTACATATTTCCTATCCCAATCTAACTTCTCATCATCCACTTGTAAGGTGAGACAAAACTTGATTGAGGCATTAAGCTTGCGCTTTATGCTTCAAACCACAGATGTGAATCAGTTATCTAAATGTTTTGATGAATAATTATGTGCAATTTTAACATCATATGATAAGCGATATGTTGAATCTATGAGAGTTGAACCCTAATAGCATCTACTAAATCATACATATGTAATGCCTCATTTTATCTCCTAGGAAAAAAGTGAGCAGTGGGGAACTCAAAGGGGCAAATACATTCAATATATCGGCGCATATGAAGAGAGGCATACACAAGATCAAGAGACCAGACGCCGACTCCAAGTAAGAACAACATACCTGCGGAGTTGATTAGCACGTACGAAGGCAGCGAAATCGACGAGCGAAAGCTGGGGCTTTCTCGTGCATCGATCAAAGTTGATGGCGATGACATCAACTGGCGACGACGTTTGTGATCGTCAAACAGAGGAGACGAGGAGCTAGAGCCCAACAAGGGCAACAAAGCTTGTGATTGAAATCGAAGAAGAGGTGTCGTCAAGGGTAGGCGAAGGACATGAAATCGAGCGTGTGCACTTTCCCTAATTTTGACTAAGCATGTTGCATCATCGAGCGGCACGACATCAAGAAGGCTCAATTGCGAGCAAGGAGGACAGCCCACGTAAGAACAAAAACAGGCGACTGTGAGTTTGAGTTGATTTCAAGTGTTGCAATCCGAAGAATAACGAGAAAGGGCAAGGTCATAGCTAGTACGTGAAGTTTTGCACAAAAATAACAAATGACGAGAGTTCTGTTTACCTTATTCACGTGAAGAGTTTGGTTTCAAGAAAAGTTGTTTGTGTTCAGGTAATTTTAGCTATCAATTTCATTTACAAATATTAAGTTCCCCATTATATCCATAAATATTTTATTAGGGTTTTGCTTAAAATAAAAGGTTGTGTAATTAGTTGATGCAATACTAAATTAATAGAGATTGGAAGGTTAGAACTGTTATACAATATATTAAGTTTAGAATATTAGTGAATTCATAAAGAAAATGTTAATATATCAAAATAGCAATTCTAGTTGTGGTTTCTTGTAGGAATTATTACAATGATTTGAGGTCAACGTCATAGATGAAACTGAGAAACAACGACTGCAAATCCATTGAGTGAGTACTCTTGCTTTTGATATGTAGTAGCATTATTTTTTCTTCTTAATCAATTGCATTGATAATTACTGCTACCTATAAATTCAATTGAAAAGCATTATTCGGATTGATATGCACTTCTTTTTATTGGTCATATTATTATGATGATTCTTCATTTTAACAATAACTACTATTATAAATTATGTATGCATAATATATTGAATTGAATGAAATACATGTATGAATGATATGAACAACATAGACTGAATATAAGAACATGTTTAACTATGATGAAGTTCACCCTTTTATGATACTAGAGGGGGAGTGTTAAGGTACTCAGGCACGTAAACTAAAAAAGATACTAATATTGATGCATCTTAATTGTCATAATTTTAGATGGTGTATTCGTTGGTGGCAAACATGGAGGATGGTTGCAATGCTCACATAAAAAAGGGAAAAGAAAAGATTTGAGAGAAGTGAAAAAAGAGATCTTTAGGAGGTAAGAGGGAGAAAAGTAAAATGGAGAATAAAAAGGGGAAAACAAAGATGAATCGTTGGATAAGGAAAAAAGGGAGAATGGACAATAGTAGAGAAAGGATAGAAAGATAAAAGACTTGAAGAAAATCCACATCATCACAATCTCTTAAAGCATAATACACATCTATTTGAAGAAAGACCCTCAAAGTAAACAACGAAAAAAAAAAAATCCTATCCAAATCCTCCTATCCAAATCCAAAAATATACATAAAAGCAACAAAAAACTAATCATAATACACCTACATCAATAACTAATAAGAGAAAGAAATTAGGGTTCACCATAACATTGTTAATATGCTTTGTTTGAGGCAGCATAATACACGCAGCTGCAACAAATAGACAGCTAGCTTCCCCGCAACAGTTTCTTGGGGTAGCGCAGCTGCAACTGAAAAATTAAGAAGCTGCAGCTGCCCCAAACAGAGCCTAAGTCATCTGCTCACTTGGTTATTAAAAATCAAGCTAGTAGAGAAAATAAAGCATTAATAATTTCAAAAAATAAAAAAAATTATAACAGTAAGGAAGTTTTTTTATTATTTGACAATGATAAGTAAACTATTTCAAAACTTTTCGTACATTGAAGCTAAAAAGAAAATAAAGAATAATAAGCAAGAAACTTTGATTGTCAAAAAGTTATTATAAATCAAAACTAGTTGAGAAAATCATGTATAAAAGGCAAAAAAAAATTGACTTTAATGCCTTAAAAAGCATGATAATTCCGCACTAAGATTTGTGAAGTACACATTTTGAAACTTGCAAGTGACATCTATCGAAAATAAGATGATTGAATATAAACTTATACATGTACAACAATAGGTATAAAATGCACCTTTTAGATGAATTGATCTAATTAGTGTTAGGATAAAAAAAGAAAAAACATATACATCAGCTTACAAAAACAAAAAATTGTTCTAAATGATTTGTGATAAATAAATATTTACAACTCAAATAGCACTAAACAGAAACAAATGGAAAATCCCTAATGCTGACCCCAAATAGTTGGGATAAGCCTAATAATTATAATGATAATCTTTGTTGGAAAGAATAAAAACATTTTAGTGAAGTGGTCAGCAACAATTATTCATCCCAACGGAAAGCACAAACCTGAACTATTAAAGTAAAAATTAGAAAATAAACCCCAAATTACAGAAGGTGGTAGCTAGTAAGACCTATGATGAAAATGCAAGCAGGCAGGAAGGCAAAATCTACTTTTCAGCCGTTTGCATAGAAGATTATTTAACTACAAATACTGCTGAAAAGTAAAGTAATGCTAATGATGGAAATGGATATGAAATGTCCTTGCGTGGCTGACTATGAAAGCATGAATCATACTGACCAATCAACATATTGAAGTAGATAAACCACCTCGAGGAAATAACTTTGATTAAAATGAACTTCAAAAGATGCAAGCAACAACCACATTCTGTATAGCCAAATGAACAAAAAATAATCATAAATGTTACAAATGGTAGACGATTGCAGGTTGATCACATCAAGAGTCTAATAGCTGTAAAAGTTTCATATCAGATATAAAACATATAGAATAAAAGTTTCATATGGCACAAAAATATAAGATGCTGCGTCTGCTGTACTTTTATGGAGATTTATCAAGCCAACCAAGCACCTAATCAATGAATTAAAGTATAAAAAGGGAGGATTTGAACTGTACAATTTCCAAAAAATTAAGCTCATAAAGTTCATCAGCATGTGTCCATCCATCCATGCTAACTGATGGCGAAAGGGAATTGTCGTTTCCATAACGCCAGTTGCCTTTCTCAACATTGCGACAGTTGGGACATTGCATCATTCCTTTAGCATTGAAGGCTGAACCTATACAATCTAGAGAATTTAAAAAGGGAACAAGTTAGTGGTAATTATTAAGCATAATAAAAAATTGACATATAACTTAAAACAGAATTAACATTTAACAGAAAAAAACAAAATCAAAAGGGTAAATAGATTAACTAGAAAAATTTTAAAAACTGAAGAAAAAATGGGGAAACTAAAAAAATCCAGCATCTTGATTTACTCCCAGCAAGTAACAGTATCAAAAGCTCAAATTGATAAACAAATAAAAAAGGTAAAAAAGAAACAAAGGACAATGCAACTGAACTGAACAATCCTTATTTTGGATAATAATCTATCTGATGTGCTCCTACGATACAAGTCATCAAATCAAATGGTTTTTTAAGAATAGCATGAAATATACATCCAGCTAAATTGAGATGCATAATTAAAGTAAAAAAAAACTACTTTCAAATTTCTAATAGCTGAAATTAAAACCAGACAAAAAATAAAAGATTCAAAACAGATCAAATCGTTAATAAAAATATACCCAGACAGATGGTAATAATGACAATAAAAACAAATGCAGATAAATTTGAACTATTTTACCATTCTCTTTGCAAATATGCACTTATCTCACTTTTTATGTATGGAGAGTTCTGCAGCTAGCATAATCAAAATGAAACATAAATGCAAGAAAACAAACAATATCTAACAAGATTACAAAATGGCAATGAGATATGGATGGCTGCTGTTCCAGGATGATATAGATAAAAGATCAGACAAGAAGACCATTATCATAAGCAAGATCACTCAGAAAGAAATCTAGTATAATAAGAATGTGAAGATGGCATTTGGTGATAGAAAGTAAAAGATCAGACAAGAAAACCATTATCATAAGCAAGATCACTCAGAAAGAAATCTAGCATAATAAGAATATGAAGATGACATTTGGTGATAGAAAGTACAATAAGACAACTCTCAGATAAAAGTAGACTATTATTGGCTCTTAAAAATTAATGTCAGGCTTCCCATTAACAGAATTGTTCATGAATTTTTGATGTACCCTGATAACAAACATACCGTTACTGAAATTTTACCAAATGAAACTAAATCAACCAAAGATAAAAGATGTGGATTTTAAGGAGAAGAAAAAATTTTGCTCTCACAGGTTCAAAGCTCTCCATAATCATGAGTGTGGTAAAAAAATAAAGCTTTTTTCTTAATTTAAAAAAACAAAAGAAGATATTATGTAACCTAGATAACACGGGGCATGTAATTTGATTATCAGCACAAGTTCTGACATCTACAGCTAGTCAAACTAGTTAAAAATAACCCATCAAATCTATATTTGAGAAACTGAAGAAGATACAATTGGGGGTTCCAATGATGCTACAATCACCAATAGGCAAACTAAGAATAGAGGTCAGCCATTCGCATAAGTCCACTACTTGAGCATAAAAATAAATAAATCATAATTCTCTAAAAAAGAGTGGCACCTAGATTGTATTATCAGAAAAACCAAAACAAACATATGGTGTAATATGTTGTTATTATTATCAGATATAGTTTGATTGCCAGCATATTTCAGCAACTATAGCAAAGATCTGTTTAATCTTCTTATGAAATTACCAAAATCCTAAGTAGAGCTGCAAAACAACCATGACATGCACAACTCAATTGATACAATTGGGGGTTCCAAAGCTGTTAAATCCAGCTTAAATGCTCCCTTAAATCCAATACCAGACAGCCCCTTGGATACGTGTAGAAAATCATGAAAGCCTGAATAGAGAAAGGATCTCTTATTTCAAAAGTTCAATAAATCGCTCCGACTTTAACACAAAAGCCATGGATGCAGACAGAACATGGGCAATAGTCCCATCCGACAAATTCCCACATCTGCTAAAGCACATCGGGACAAACTCACCCCCTAGATCATTCAACCACAACCACACGCTCCAACCAAATATAAACTTCACAGATCAGCCAAAACTACATAAATGCAGAAAGGACGGGCGACAACACAATATACGAAAGGAATGTCGCAATCGATTACACTGACCTAGATGAAACTCGTGGCGGCACTGCAGCTTGGCCATAGACCGCCCTCCGGCAATCACCCCCTCAAAGCAGATCGAACACAATGAACCCGCATCCATCGCCCCACCGCCGCCTCCCTCTCCTTCCGTCACAACTGATTCCCCTGAACCCATAGCTTCACTTCCAACAACAGTCTTTCTCTCTCAACCTTGCGCTCTATGGCTTCTCCTTGGACCATAAACCTAGAATCGAAACAAGGAAATATATAGGGATCACTTGGCGTCGTCTTCGGTCTGTATCCCAAAAATATCATCCTCTTTCCCGCCCGTGTCTTATCCGCCTGCAATCTCGACATTTATTGCGGATCGCCATAAAAAAGTAAAGGCACGTGCGCGAAGAGGGAGGTTTGCGGGCCGCTGGCTTTGAGAGGCCGCGCCCCAATCTAGTCCCGAGAGTTGCGGTTTGGCATTTTAATTTTTTGTATCATAAGAATAAACCATTAAGAGAAAAAAAATATATAAATATTAAATAAAATATGTCCTTAAATGTAATTAAATATAATTTTTTTAATCCCTATTAATATTCATAATTAAAAAATATAGAAGCATGTATCAATTCAACATCTATCTCTCATATTTCCTAAAGTAAGACCAGTCAATATTTGATATATAAATTATGACTACTTAAATAATTATTGTTGGCTGATGTGCGTGATTATGTGAACATATGTAGAAAAATTTAAGATAGTGTGAACATGTAGCATGCAAATGATGGTAGTTCAATTAATGCTTTAATACAATTTAGGGAAAATGTACTGGCACAATCTCGGGGAGAGCTAATGGCACGGTCATGACAAGATGTGTAGCGTGGGGTCACACCAATCGAGAACACGGGAGCCAATACGTCGGATCGTGAGCAATACGGTCAAAATTAACCGAGGTAGCCAAGCGGCGCGAACCTGAGCAGCACAACTGGCCGCTAAGTACGTAAAGCGACCAAGGACATCACTGCGATGGAAACCAACCTAAGGAGAAGGGCTAACCCATTTGGTCTTACAATTCCCTTGGATGTATTCAGCGGTCATCTCTCAATATTTTTTCATCCATAGGAAGCTACCTATTGGATTACAATGATTCGCCCTCTGCTTAATAACATCGCTGCGCCTAGCTGACTAGAGTTCATTGTCATGGATTAAGGGTCCATGGCCATACTTGATCAACCAATCGGCTCCACTTAGCCAACCAAGTCTACTTTTCTGACAATTTATAAGTAAGAATCCAACAAACTAGTAGCACCAATCCTAAATGACCTGCAATATTACTGGACCAGGTTGACCGATGTACCTCTCTTGCTTAGTTGACTGGTAACATTTTTCAAATGATTTTCCAACCTAAGCAGCTGAGCCTTAAAGCCACCAAACTCTAGGCTAACATATGTTAAATGTCTACAATAACCTGTAAAACCCACATTAAAGTAAGGGCGCAAATGCAAATTCACACATAGTACACAGACAAATCAAGTTATAACATCATGAAAGGTGTGGTGAGTGTAGATTATGCCAATAACAAGATGATGGGCATCACAAGGACAAAAAAATCAAAACTGAGACACAACTAATATGGAGTGCATTAAGGAGTTTTTGCAGTAAAAAATACCAGAGCTGAAGGACCAGATGATGGATTAGATAATAAAAGATATCAAGAGGCAGTAGCTTGAGACAATGAGCAGAAGCCTTGGGTATAAGGGTCATCGCCCAATGGGCAGAGGTCACTCAAGCCTTAGAAAGGAAAGGAGATTCATAGTTCCATGATAATGTTAGGTTGGCGTTGAGGGATAGACAACGGATTGTTTAACTGAAGCACCGTGTCAACTAGAGAATGCATTCTCTCGACAGTTTTCTAAACTTCAATCCTTATAAAGGTTTTAAATTCCTGCTATAGAATCTAACAAGGGTCGGGCTTATCCGATCAACTACATAGCATCCTTCAAGTTGACAATCTATCTACTAAATATCACAAGTACATTGAAATATCAATTTTCCTCACCATGTCAATGGAGTAGCCCTTAGATGGTTCAATAAACTAACAACTGGATTAATTACGTCTTTCACTGATTTTTAAATGATGTTTGTGACACATTTTGCTAGTGGCCAAACGTCGCAAAAGAGCTCATAAACTCTGCTAGAAATCAGGTAGTGGCAAAACTAAGAGTCTCTGCTCGTTCATGGCGCTATTCTAGAAGAAGATATTAGAGACGCAGGATCTAGAACCCATACTAACACATGTCGTCCTTTCTCAAGGGTTGAAAGAGGAACCTTTATGCGCCTTAAGCCTTTAATGATTGATGACCTTAGCCAAACTATTGGAGCTATCCAACAATCACATTTTAACCAAAGAGTACAATTCCACCCCTAATTCCACCAGAGAAGAGTTAGTCGCCCATCATCTGTAGAAGAGGGCTCCAAGAGAAGCTAGATGGAGACTAAGGAAGACTCACGTTTTTATTATTTGTTGAAATACAAACACAACCAACAACTCCAAGACAACAAAGATCCGACAAAATTTATAACCGAGGGGGGTAGGCTCAATACCCTCACCAGCAGTCAACTCATTAAAGTGAGCGACCATTAAATAAACATGAGGCACCAAAAGGCGACTCCGCTTAGAGTCTCGATGGCTGCTAGTGGAGGTCATCCAAAATAAAGAGACTCTGAAGCTTTTCCTCAGGAGAACAAGAAGCATTGTGCCTATCATAAAGACCATGGCTATCACACGAAGAAATGTCAACTCTTCTGAAGTCCGATTGAGGAGTTGATTAGATCTAGGAAGCTTAAGAAATTTTTGGCACTATGAGCAACAACCTTGTGGTAGAGGAAGTCTTCAACTAACGAAATTTCGAGTGAATGCCATTCAAGTTGCTTGGAAAATTGTTGGTCATTTTCGAAGGAGGTAGAAATTCATTTAAGGGGATCAATCTACAGAGGCTTTAATTGCGAGAATTTGTGTGTAGTTGTTTTTACCCAAAGCACAACACTCACTTATCAATCACATTCATCGATGCAGATTTACCCCTCAATGGGAACCCCCACAATGACGTGATCGACATCGCAACTATGATAGGTAACTATGAAATTGGTAGCATATTTGTCGACGCCAGCAACTTGTGAAACATTTCGTTCAAGTCACTGTTTGATAATATGAAACTCAAGGATGACTGACCGACTGCATAAACCAGACCACTATATGGGCTCTCAATTGATTGTTATAATGATATTTTTTTTAATGTCACGGTGTTAGGTCATTGTGGCACTACATCTAGAGCCATGGCGCCTAAAGTTGTGAATTTAGTTTGAAGTTTGTTAATCGTTCAAAAATTTGTTTCAAAATTTGGCTCAGATTGAGATCGAGCTTAAATAAACTAACAGAGCTATGAGCCAAAACCTTGGATTGAATTTCTTGAAACTAATTTAGAGCCAACCCCAGCTCGACTCAAAAATCAATTTGTTAATAGCTCTAGAGAGTTTAAAGCGGTGAATTTAACAAATTAGCTCAAAGATTGTTAATCGCTTAAAAATTGATTTGAATTTTGGCTCGAATCAAGATTGGATCAAAATAAATGTGTTGAGCTATGAGCCAAAATTTTGGATCGAATTTTTTTTAGCGGATTTTGAGATGGACCTTCTTCAACTCGAAATTAAATTGTCAAAAGTCTTAGTAGTGCCCAAGTTGATACTATCCACATCTCTAGCCACACACTCCATCTTTTTGACTGATGTGGTGCTTGTCACATCAACGCGCCATGATATTTTGCCTTGAGCTAAAATATTGCACTTCCTCACTTGCCCTTTAAATGGGGGCAGCTCTTGGTTGCCCCAAGGATTGACATTTTTGGTTAAAAGCCTTGAGCATTAGTCAATTTGGTATTTGTAGGCTATTCTTTTGATCAGAAACTCTCATTCAGATTTTCCAAGCTTCTGGATCATAGTTCCTCGTCCTCACTAGTTGTAAGAAAGCGATCTTCCATGTGCTCGTCTTCCCTCTCCCTTGTAGTGGAATCCTTGGTGTCATTACTATAATTAGTGGTGATCTCAAGGACCGATGAAGAAGTCCTCCAGTCTACAAAGCATATGACGTGCCCCAATCATCGTGTAGGTGAGATTTCTCTCCCTTTTATGAATCTTCCTTTATAGGAAACCATATGTTTTGTGTTAGAGGAGTTAGTTCAACTTATTGATAGAGGATCCATATATTATGTTCGTATGTTTCCTCATCTCATCTACATTTCTTATTAGTGTTCCTCTGGGAGTGAGGCTTTAGTTTGCATGATGTTGTGATGCCACTTTTTTAGGCATTACAACATCATTCACATTGTTGTTGAAATAGGTTCAATACCATTTATTGGTGCTTGGTCATCTTTTAACCCACAGATAGTCGCAAGTCATTAACTCTGTAAAGATGTGAGGCCGCCAGGTTTGATTTTGATTGGCACTAGATGTTGTTTTTTAGCGAATTGTGTTAGATCCATAAAACTAAGTCACAACATTGCTCTTGATGTCATGACCCTGAGTGTTATTGATTCCATTTAACCTGGACTTGTGACACCAGTTTTGGTGACACAACGTTGTCTTCTATTTTGTGATCTAGTGTTGTATTCCCATTAAAGTGAATACAACACTACAATCTACTCCCATAGCTTTTTCTTGGCAAGTTGCATTTTTGATGCACCACTTGTGGTAGTGTAGTAGATACAAGGCACCCGTTGTTTGATTAGAAAAAAAATTTATTGGCTTGATATTATCATCTTTTGGCCTTTATAAGTTGTGAGGCACGATATTCTCTTTTTCAATCATTGGCACAACCTTTTGCATGGGTGGTACCCCTTTAGATTTTCGTCCATGTTTTTAGGTTGGGTTTAATTATTCTAATCAGGTGGTTCTTTCATCATTATAGATCGTTGACTCTGAGACTTACTCTAAAAAACTGTTGGTACACCCCTCTACATGGGTATTGGTTTTGCTTTGCCCGACTGAGTAGAGCTTACGTCATTCTTGTCACTTGCTTATGAGGATTTCATCTTTAACCTTTTTCATGCCACCTGTGTGAGGCAAGTAAGATAGTTTTTGTGTTTTGTCATCAACTAGGTTAATGTTGCATTGTGTGTCACCACAAACCCCTCTTCTCCTTAGATATTGAAAGGATCTGACCCCCATGTAATATTAGTGGTTATTAGGTGCCCCCTCCTTTCATCTTCAGATGTAAAGTTTGTTCTATGTAGTCATTTTCACAGCATCATAGCACCCTCTATGGTAGGAGAGGCGATCCTTACATGTTTTACATATGTTTGCATGTGATTTTTGTTTACATGTATATCTTACATATTGACACATATCTATATGGTTGCTTCTAACTTTATTCTCTTTTTGGGATACTCGACTGCTTGTCGGTGTCATTTTGGGCTTAGTTCCTGAAACATGTCTTATATGACATGTTTCATGCATTATTTATGTGTCATTGCACACAGGATCTTACCTTTCCAAGTATGACACTGTTTCATGTCTCGCCATATAGGCCTGGCTATAATAAGTACGTGTGTAAGTGGAAGCACCATATGGACCTTTAGTATGATCTGTGGTGATAATACAAAAAATGAGCATTACTCATTAGCTTGTCCGAGCACGAAATATGAGTTACCTTATTGTTACCATATCTCATTGTATAAACTTTGGTTTACCTAAAATCTTTTTGTTTCAACTAAAATTCCACTAAGGTCAAAATTTTCTTACCATCTCTCACACAACGCTATTAGAAACAAGATGCCTGAAATTACTGTGAGATAAGTTGGTCAATCACACGAGTATCATATTCGATAAAGTAATATAAAAATTATCAGTGTGTATCAATCACACGAGAAAAATTAACAAAATATTCAAATAAGCAAATTTATAGTTTACCAAACTTCGGAATTAAATTTGAAGCATTAGATGTGCAATGGTTAAGAGATCTAAAATCCTAAAAGGCATAAACTAGACATATTTACCTTGGATTAGAAATAAATTTTGAATTAAATTTGATGTATTAGATGTGCTATGTACAAAATTTTAGTTGAGATATGTAAATACAGAAGGATTTTGTGCTATATATGTAAATTTTCCTTAAAAATAAGTTTTAAATAAAGAAATTGTTGAGAGCCATAAGCATGCCACAATCATAAGAATAATGAAAGAATAGAAATCCTAATTACAAATTCGAATTTTTCTAAATCACATAAACTGAAAATGTAAGATAACTAACATTTCAAATTACTTAAAAACTTAAGAGGAATGATTTAATTGAGATCGCATTCAATTTGACTGAAAGAAATAAAAAATTGGTACACTGGAACAAAAATTGGATCGAAGGAGGGTCGATAGGTTCCGAAGCTAGAGCATCGGGTTGGAGGAAAAAAAATGAGGGTTTTTAGCGCTAATTCAGCTTGAAGAAGCCTTTTGACGGCTTAACAATAGTGATAACTCGATAGGTTTTTAAATACATAAGAATCAACAATTTTGATTGTCATTTGTTATGATTTGACGATTAATTTATAACATAGAAAATCGACGCTGTGTATTTTTGATGGCTTGAGTCTGTTAGTTAAGAGTTTACCGACCATCGTTGGGTCCTCACATACCGTCAAAAAAGAGTTTGACTATATAGCTATGGCCTAAGGAGTTGAAAAGTAATCAGAAAATACACACAAAAAAAAACATTCTCCAAAACCATCAGAAATCTGCTCGAAATTCCCGCCGCACGTATAACGTTGGTTATTTTGCTAGTTATATCTCTTTTTCCTGTTATGCATCTACCGAAGTGGTCGAGCTAAGCCCACATGCCGAAGTTGCTAATCTAGCTTAAGGAAAATTGACCATCAAAGAAGATCATCATTACACACAAGAATGAACGTCCATCTATATTTATAGTTCCACCTAACATCCACGCCACTGTCTTTTCATTAAGACACTGCAGACATACATTGCATTGTATGAAATGTGATTTTATATATATTTTCACTCAAACATAGAAAATGATGTCAGAGGGGCTCTCAAGATCGGCCTTTTCTTTTGGTGAGGGTGAGGGGGAGGATTACCTCAGAAAAATAAAGAACTCGCAACCAGAGTGTCTCTATTTGTCCCTCTCTCTCTCTCTCTCTTGCTGTTGACAAATAGAGACCTTTTATTGTAGTCATCATCGATTGTCCGAAAATCCTAAGAAAATGTAGAGAGGGAAATTTGAGCTTTACCAACACAACTATCACCTCCGCCATAGCTTCCTCCTAAAGATAGAGTCTTTAAGTATTGTATGAACTAGGGACAACAAATAACTTGATGCCCTAAATGAATTTAGCACTAATCCACTTAAAATGACTTAAAACTATGTTGATGTAAGTAATAAAACTTTGCACAAAGAAGCACACTTGTCTACTTTAATAAAAAAAGATTAAATTAATAAATGAGTGGGCATGCCTATATATATGGTAGGTTCTATTTAAAGTGCTTTAATAACTCTTATATTTTTTCCCACTTTAAAAACCATTCCAATTAAACTTTTATATAGAAAATAAATTATAGCTAAATAAGTACAATGAACCACCGGGGCACTGCTGCGATCAGACGGTCCTAAAAAGAGGAATCGATTTAGGTGTCGAGTAGTATATATAACCAGTCGACCGTAGGCTTTGGTCTCTCTCGCTTCTGCTTCTCCTTGCAAACCCTAGAGCTTTACGCTCTTGCCGGCCCTTCAGATTTTAGGGTTTGCGTTGAAATTCAGTGAAAGCAACATGCTGGTTTACCAGGATATCCTCACTAGTAAGTTTCTTGTACTCTTTCATCGGACTTGCTTGTTTTTTTGTTTTTTGGTTTTGTTTTACTTGGTTTTGAGATCAATCTTTTTCGGTGCATGAATCATGGATTTGTGCGATTGATATGACGTTTATTGATCAAAGATCTATTTGTCTGATAGATGGAAGGGTAAGGAAGGGTTTGAGAAGGAGCTATTGATTTGTATTTTAATATGGAAATTATATGCCTGGATCTCTTTGATCTCGGGGGTTTTCTTGTGGTTGTAATACTGGGACGTTTGAATTTTGAAACTGATTGATCAAAGGTTTCTTCATCTGGGGTTAATTGTCGATCTTGCTGGATTGGAAGATGTTCAATCTAGGTTGCCAGAATTACTTTTTTGCTCGTTTATTGAAAGTTTACATGCCTCATCTTTACCCTTCTACTCATGTCTTAAATTAACACAGTTGAGCTATTGGTAGACAGATTTCGAGGTTGTTTGGTAGAGAGTTTTAATGGGATTTAGGATTGGATTTATCATAAAATCAGCCACACGTAATAAAGTGAGCAATTGAATCTGATTCCCATGTAAATTTGGATTAGGCTCCATTTCAACTTAAAAATCTGATTACTAAAGGTTCGTTTGGGGTGTCAATGTGGTGCTGCACTGTAGTTTTTTTTATTTGGCAAAACTGCATTTTGGCTGCATTCTCAAAAGGCTGTAGCTTAAATTTGAGTTTTTCCACCGGACCTGGCTACACATAGTGACTGTTAGAAAGTTGCGTTCTAACTTTTTCATAAATTTTTTTTTGTTGTAGCCACCATAACTTTTTTGAACAACTTCTTCAACAGTTCCATAACTACATCTTCGTTCAGCCGCAACTGCCATAAACATACCCAAAATTTGGCAATTTGGCTGATTTAATGGATTTAGGGGAAGAACTAAAAAGTTTCCTGTGGCGCCCATTGTAGCTAGCCCTATCACAATCTACACCTAAGCCCTATTTAGACGAGGAGCTCTACTAAGTTCTCTTCACACAGATCTGTTTATCTTCCTATCCTGGTATCAGCCAGCTTTTTGCACAGTTGTCCCTCTTCTCTTTCTTGATTCAATGCGGAGAAGGAGAGTGTTAGCACAACCTCCCTTCCAGTTCCCATTTTTGATCTTGGTGCCCTGATTTTCTGTTACGATTTAGTGTTTCACTGGAAATTTGAACTCAATCTTTCAGTTGCGTGTGTGATGTTGGTGGTAATATGTTAGATCATGATGGATGTATAATTAGACACGATTTCATCTATTAGAGGCATAAATACCCCTTAAATGCTGATCTGCCACTAAACTGATGCTAACTCCACAAATTATGTACAGTTTGGTATGTAGATGATAATGTAAATAAGTAGATCTTATTCTTCACTTATAAGGTCCTTTTTAAGCTAGTTTGTTTGAAGTTGATCTTTGTACAACTGAGTGTGTTATAACTGATTTTACACAGAACTGCACCTTATTTTACACAAAACATGGGTTAATCTATGACTACGTTTCCAAACCAAGCTTAAATGGTTGCATTGATTCTTTGAGGTAATATAAATAAGCAAATATTTTTCCTTAAAAACGTCTAACTCTTACTTTTTCTAAACTTCTACAGCTTGTGGTGGCTTCGAATTACTCAAGTTCAAGTATAGTAGGACATAAGATTTTGCGTGAACCCCACAGCTCATTAACCAAATGATACCAAATATCAAGCTACACATGATGTTGTTAAATTGAAGCAAGCAAAATCCCTAACAAATAGTTTAATAAATATGTATTTCAAGTCTCGCAGCATAGGAATGATTCCATCAAGTTTTTTATTGTGACTAGTTTTATGTTGTTTTTTGTTAGGAATATGTTATAAGACATTGCTTTTCAGTTTTATAAAATTCTTTGTTGGTAGTTGCTTGTGGTATTTGATTACACCTTATTTATTTGCCACCTCAATTAACTGTTTTTTAGTTGTAACAATGTTATAGTACACTATAGACTTTTCTTTCTTTTATTAATCATAAAAATGTGATTAATTTAATGAAATATTTTTTAAAATGTTACTAATCAAAATTTGTTATTTAAATCTTATTTAAACCAATAGTTTTGTTCTGAGATGAGTTACCAGACAGTCAAATGAATTTGAATGGATTAAACCTCAATCATACAACAAATTTTAGGCTTTAATAGCATTTGGATTTGATAAATCTAGCTTTACCGGATTTATTAAATCATATTTAAATTTAATCCTATACTTGCATTCAAAAGTGTGAAACTCGAAATTGAATTTTTAAATTTTACTAGACCTTAAATCCCATTTTATCTCAGTTTTTATCTAAATCTTGATTTGTTGAATCTGGAAGTTTGATAGATTTAAGCGAGATTTAACTTAAATCCTCTCATACCATTATTCTGGTTATCTTTAGAATGTGAATTTACTAAATTCATATTTTGTCCATTTTCGGTGTAAATCGTGTATTTAGTAAACCTGGCCATTCAACAAATTTTGTAAATCCGGGAACACACTAAGAGGAAAGGGGAAAAAACGATTGTTACCTTTGTCAATGATTTCAGATAGGAGCAGAGTGGGAGGAGATAGATTAGAGTTGCGGTGTTCTCTGTATGCCGTGATCTCGACTTCATCTTCCTAGCTCTTGTTGCAATTATAACATGAGTGTTTTGATGATGAGGGGGCTAGGGGCAGGTAGGCGGTGCTTTTGGTCAATACAAGAGAGGTGGAAGGAGCTGAATGATTTGTTAAAAGTTGTTATTAGCTAACCTATACTACCATAATTTATTTATTGATCAATGATTAATTATCAAACATAAAGTGATTGATTGAAGTTTTAACACTTTAATAGAATGAAAATTAAGTAATTTCTATCGTAATAATGAAATAATTTAATTTTAATTACGTTTTTGTATTTCAACATACCTAACAGGCTTTTAAATCTTAGCAGAAGTTCCCAAATAGATTTACAAGATTTAATTGGATTTATAAATTCACTACCAAACGGCTACTGGGATTTTTATTTTAACCATTTTGGGATTTACTAAATTCAGATTTAGAGAATTTATACATTCTAATATCTTGAATCCCAGAAGTTACCAAACAGCCTCTTAGGGGATTTATTGAATTGAGACTTACAAAAGAAGAGAAAGGCAAGCGAATGAATACCTCCTGTAAGAACACACTGCCACTTAAGAACCCTTCTTCTCTTTCATTTGCTGTTGACCTTGTCATTGCCTTTCGAGCATGCTCCCTTTGCAACTTGTTGTTTCTTTTTTGGGTGAGGGTTCTGGGCAGAAACGAAAGTTAAGAGATTAGATAAATGCATATATTAAAGCTTATTAACCAAATCGATAAAAAATTATGAATTGAAACCAGTAATATTAGATAAATCATATAGTAAAGAAAATTTTAAATGAACACTACTAATTAATATTAACTAACATATATTGTTTTTATTTAATTTCATTAGACTAACTTTAATTATCTTAATAAAGTGCTAGTTAGTAATTAATGGATGTGCTATCTTATGTTATTTATTAGTTTTAGTTAATTTAATTTCAATTTATAAATGGTAATTAGTATTTAACTTTGTTAAATTATTAATTTTATGTGAACTGATTAATTAGAAAATATTGTTGACTTATCTTAATAAATTACTAATTAATAATTAATTGGGACAGTATCTCATGCTAAATAATGAATAATAAATTACTAGTTAGTGATTAATTATTTTTAAATTCTAATTAATGATTAATTAGTTTAGTGAATTACTAAACTAATGATTTATGTTATTAGGCATAATAAAATGCATGGTGATAAAGTTATATTCTTGTCCCTTAATTATAAAAATTTGAATCTTCCATATATTTTAATAATTGACATGTTGCTGTTTTTTTCCTAGATTCTTAACTTTTGATTATTTGGATGCGTAGAGATGAAATAATTGTGACATGGAAGTTGAAAGTGCCTCCAGCCTAGGTGGTAAAGATCTTAGTAGTTGTTGTTACATGAAATTTTAAATTTGTACCTTGGTATTCAACAAATAAAAGCGTTACCCCTAGCTAAGTAAGACATCATCAAGCTTAATAATCAATACAACTGTTCTATATTTAAACTTTCTATAATCTATTTCTCTCAATGGGTCGATGGCAAATGAATTATTAGGAGAGTTGTGCTGCTGATCTCACAATTTAGATTTCCATTGGATTTTTGTGTAAATTTGAGTTTGATTTAGTGTTTGATATTGTGATTCCTACACTAATCTAGTTGCAGATTAAGCGAAATTGGTTCGATTTTTTTTTTAATCAAAATAATTATGTAAAATGTTGGAGCAGCTACACCAATCCTCCATACCCAAATGTATTTAACTTTTTCAGGTGTCCTTTGATGTTTCCTAGTTCGGTGTACCTGTCTCTTACTATTTTATTATTTTCTCTCTTTTTCTTGTCTGTTTTAAGATGTATTTTTTGCATTTTTCAAATGACATTCTTTTACACTTTCTCCCATCAATTCCAAAATATTGAGTTAGAAATTTATTCTTTATACCATGCAGACGATGAGCTTCTTTCAGACTCATTCTCAGCTAAAGAAATTGAAAATGGCATGTTGTTGGAAGTTCAAGGAAAGGTTAGAAATTTTTTTTTTTAAATTATTCTATCCCAAACTGCTATGTATATTTATTTTCTTACCTTGGATTAATACCTTCGAACTGGATGTGTTTATTTTCCGCCCAAGCCAAGAACCATTAACTATACTATTTTTTATGGTCAATTTTGAGCAGTGGGTAGTCCAAGGTGCTATAAATGTTGATATTGGAGCAAACCCTTCTGCTGAAGGCGCCGATGAAGGCGAGGGAGTGGACGACCAAGCTGTTAGAGTGGTCGATATTGTTGACACCTTTCGCCTTCAGGTATTTTCGTTATTCGTAGCCGATACCTTACTCCCACTCGTCTTCTTTTCAACTTTAAACCCATAAATAGCAGTCTTCCTTTTTTTATTTTTATTTTTTATATAATTCCCACTTCATTTCAATAGGAGCAACCCGCCTTTGATAAGAAGCAGTTTGTCACCTTTATGAAACGATATATCAAGAATCTGACACCCAAATTGGATGCTGAGAAGCAGGAGTTATTCAAGAAACATATCGAGTCTGCCACTAAATTTCTGCTTTCAAAACTCAGCGACTTGCAATTGTAAGTATATGCATATTTGAATCCATCTTAACTTCCCCCCCACCCCAAAAGCTTCCTGCTAATTTTTTTTCCATTTTCATGCCATGAGCATGATAAATTGTATAGACAATTTGTTGAGTAAAATAATTTAGACATCACTTCTAAACAATTTTTTTGAGCATTCGAGCAATTGCAGGATGAGTGCCTTCTCTTTTGAGGGGCCTTTACATACCACATAATTATTATGTATTTTCATATCAGGACATTTACTATGTATTTACGAATCTCACACCTGAATTTTCATATTCACACACATGCCACTCAAATTTTTAATATCACATAAAAAATTGCACTGTTACAACTTCTTAGAAGCGAATAGGTTTAAAGCACAAGTTGCAATGTATCTTAATATGAAAGTTTAGGTGTGACATGTGTAAATACATAAGAATTATGTGCTACTTGTCTAAATTTCCCTTTCATTTCTACATGCATGCATATAAATCTTTAATATTACATAAAAAAAATATCACAATTTCTAACCTTTGAAAAGTGAGATACACCTTTTTGATGCATGGTTTCATGCACCAAAGTGTCATTAATGTAAATATCAAACTAGAGATGTAGACATGCAAATACCTATATATAAATTTATGTGCAAATTTGTTATCGTCATGGGACAGCTTTGTGGGTGAAAGCATGCATGATGATGGAACATTAGTGTTTGCTTACTATAAGGATGGTGCGGCTGATCCAACTTTCCTGTACTTCGCTTATGGATTAAAGGAGATCAAATGCTGAATGATACAAGCTGCTTCCCCCTCTAAGAGGGGACGGCCTCGGCGTCGGCCTCGGCATCTGTTGTTGTACCCCCCCCTACCCACTCTTTATATTTATTTTATGCTGCTTTCGAAAATTTTACCGTTTTTGAACTTCTATTGTGCGTGTTCGGTATGTTCAGTGAATGTTCAAACTGGTAACTTTGTTATTGCCTTGATGTTTGATTGAAGGTGTTATTAGTTGATTAGCAGAAAATAATGTTAAATCAGATTTTGCAATTTGTTGTATTCAAGAAGGCTGGATAACTATTCGTTTTGTTATTTGATTATTTAAATTAAATAAAATAATTTTATATTTATTATTAAAATATCGTTTGTTGATTGCAGGCTGACATTATAAGTAAAAAGTACTCGAAAGTTATGACAATTTAATCAAATTTCAAGATAAATCTATATGGTTTGTGTCGTTTTCAATCATATGATTAATCAGAAATCATAGATCTTGATGGTAATTATAGTTTTATCAACTCAAGCACCCAAATTTTAAGTCAATATAAACATTATTTGTTTTGTGATGCAAGTTGTGTGGGCTGGGGCCTGTGCTGTCCTAGTGGTTCAATGAAGTTGATGCAACCTGAATAATTTCAGGACCACCCTGTATTATTTAAAATGGCAATTTATTCATCTATACAAAAGAAAAAGGGGAAAAAAATCACCTTTTTCTTAATCTTATTTACATATCTATCCTTGAATTCCTTTGCATCACCTATTGAACATCTAAACTTCATGAAAAAATCAGTATTTTGAATTTCATAAGGGAAAGAAAGTTTTTAACAAAGCAACCGGAAACTAACTAATATTTTAAATAAAGTTTGGATTTTTTTTTGGGTTATTTTGATACATAATTAATTGGTTAATTCTGGCGTCCTGATGTCGTGATTCTTGTCTTCATGCTTGAAGATTTGATGCCTTCTCCATAAAAAAATATTAGGCGACTCCGGATCTCTGGGTCCAACAGTGCGGCATCACTTGGCAAATGGGCTCCAAAAATTTTAACACTGACCAATCCCAATATATTGCGGTGGGTCCATTTGACACGTGACACCGCACCATTGAACTCCGGAGTTAGCAAATTACGTCTAGACTCCAGATGACCCTCATTATTTTTTTTTTAATAATGAGTGTCACGCTCCTCATGATCTAAAAGTAAAATGAGAAACATCCAAGTATTTTGCACTCACAGATGTTGCATAACTCAATGATCATAACAAGTAATGAAGCAATATGATAATTTTTATTTCACATAACACATTGAGAACACATCTTCAACACAACTTGCACCAAAATACCAAACAAAGCCTTAATATTCAAGCATTTTTCAGATACTTTGATTTAAAATAAGATATCTAAGAAACTAGATTCAGATAATTTTGAAACAAAATAGTTTTTATGAGCTTGTAGCATCATTGCTATGAGAGACATCAATGCTTGTCCTTTGGTTTCTTCACTATCATCACGGTGCAGTTTGCATGGTGTGCGCAGTAGTCGCTCACGCTTCCCAGCACAGCCCTGCACAGAAATGCCACACTTGCCTTCAAAATACAATAAAGGAAGATTTGCATGCATGCCACTCAATTCTTATGCATTTACATATCCACCACCAGCATATATATTATTGAAGTTTAGGTGTTAGATATGTAAACATAGAAGAATTGGGGGCATCATGTGGATTATTCAAAGATATTGTAAACATCTCTATATAAGACACTTGGCATCTAGATGTCATGAGACAATCTAAACACTAAAATGGCTGCAAAAGAGAAAGGAGGAGATTTACATACATTTTACATAAATACCATAAATTTATATATTTATTGCCTAAACTTAAATATTTAGATATAAATATGTAATAGTCAAACTTTTAATATCGCATAAAAAATATCACTAAGATTTGTAAATCATATTTTTCATGCATATATTTTGAAGTGATCATTGAAGCTGGTGAAGTGTATATAAGGCATTACATATATTGAAAATTTACATACCTACCATAAAATTCTTATGCACTTATACATCTAACACTCAAAGTTTGATGTTTTTGTCACCTTGGTGTCATAAAGTTATGCACAAAAAGCTGTATTTCACTTCTAAAAAGAATTTTGACATGATGTTAAGAATTTGATTGATATGCATGTAACTATAAATGTTTAGGTACTAGATATGTAATTACATAAGAATTGTGTGACATGTATGTAAATGCCTCAAATATATAAATAAATAAATAAAATCATTATTGATCATTTGATAGTTAATACTACTATAAAAAAATCATCAAACCAAACAATTCCAAGATTTGTTGATGATGTTGCTTGTCCACGCTTGAAAGTTTTGAATGATTTATATGAATGAAATCATGATTCTAACTTGGTTTATCATTTTGGCATAGCTTTGTAGTAAAGACATGGCGTAAGAAAAGATAATATACCTTTTAACAGCTCCATAGCCATGGCTTCCCACAACAAGCACGTCTGCATGGAACTTTTCAACAGCATCACAGATAACATTCCTTGCATCTCCTTGGATCGCCTCATATGCCACATCAACTACCTTTGTATTATCAATATGTTGAGAGAGTTACCATTGAAAAGAATATATATCAAAAAGGAAATCGATATTTGGCCCATGCGCTTGTTGGCCCTATGATAAGAGCCCAAATTCCAGAGCCCTCACGCCACTGTGGGATCAAACCCTTTACCTAAGGGGACTTACAATAACCCCGCCACCAACAGACCAAGGCTCACGACACACACACATACTCAGAGATATATATATATATATATATA